ACTGAACAATTATTGCTGGCTACGGACAATGATCTCATTTCAGAGTCTGCGACTTTGCGCAGCAATGATGTCGTGAATTTGGAAGACCGGGAGTGTCACTGTATTGAACGAAGATCGACAGCATATTATAGGTCGATTGATCTGTACAGCGCTTCGGACCCTGAAATATGTACGTGAGGTGGGATCAATCACAATGGGATGTGTGAGATGTGTTTGACTCTAATTATTTCGAAAGCAAATGACGGCTGTCGAGCGCCAATGATACTCTAGCGGAGATACGCCAAGCGCCCTGGGTGGGAGTTCGACAGAACTATCCCGGAACTAAAGGAGACCGGACGTTTGAACCCGTTCTCCACCTCTTTAGAGAAGAGCCCAATGATAAAGAATGTCTTTAACAACTCTCCCATACCATATGATAATGTTTATTATCTGAAGGATACAGATTGACGAAAGTGATCGCAGGAGAAAGTACTAAGTTAAGTCTGCAGCTTTACCTACAGAAAGAATTATGCTTGGTGAGATATACTGGTCCTCGGGATGGCAACGACAAATTTACCCGTCGAATTTAGTGTCGAAGTGCTAACCGCTAGACTAAAAGCAGGACTACTTTCAGCCATTCAAGAGATTATAGCAAACATACTAGTCGCTGTGGTCATTAGCTATTATAGCGTGGGTTAGATATGGCTGGCCGACGTTTAGCCGCCCAGTTCGGAGTTCATGGCTACTCGCTGCAATGTCTTACATTTCGCGCTGCCCTAAGGCTGCTAGTATGAACAGCCGAGGGTGGGATCATCTCTGGTGAAAGATCCTCTTTTAGACAACTGAACCTTTCGCTATACATACATCTATTCCCATAGCTGCTGCGAGCTGGCGCAAATCTACAGATTACAGCCATCAGATCACAAACTTTGCAATTTTTCCGACGATATTCAAGAATATGACCTCAAAATATTCCAAATTTGTTCGCGCCCTGTTGATAGCGATACTAATGCTAGCCATGCTCGCGATATCATTGCGACATCTAGGCGCCTCAATTTCTCTGCAAGCAAGTCAACTTGATCATCTGCCCGAGAAGCAGATAAATTGGTCACGATTTGCATATACACAATACGCAACGGACAGATCTTACTTGTGTAACTCAGTCATGATATTCGAGGCCCTCCATCGGCTTGGAAGCAAAGCTGATCTCGTGTTGATGTACCCATCTAATTTTCTCGTGTCTGAGAACGATGACTCACCAGAAGCTCATTTACTACGTTTTGCAAGAGATAGATACGCGGTTAAACTCAAGCCAATGGAGGTGATATACAAGGGCGGGGGAGGTGGTAAGTCGCTTGATGTCACTGCTGCAATACGTCGAACTAAAAGTGGGCGCAGAAACGTGGTCAAGGAGCTACACGAAGCTTCTCACTTTCAATCAAACAGAATACGACAGAGTCCTTCACTTAGACTCTGACGCGACTCTCCTACAGGTTTGTCTGTTAAGCGTGGTTTCCATTGTAACAACTAACATGATATATGAAGACAATGGACGAGCTATTTCTGCTCCCATCGGCTCCGGTCGCTATGCCACTGGCATACTGGTTCCACCAAGAAGACAAAGTTTTTACCTCTGCCCTAATGCTCATTGAGCCGTCCACAGCAGAGTTCAGCCGTCTAAAGGATGAAATATGGGATGGTGTTTCTGGTGGATATGACATGGATATTGTGAACAGGATGTATGGAGATACAGCACTTGTTATCCCGCATCGTCCTTATATGCTTCTGACGGGGGAATTTCGCTCCAAAGATCATGAAGCTTATCTAGGCAATGCAGAGGAAACGTGGGATGCCGACAAGGCTCTAGAAGCTGCCAAGTACCTCCATTTCTCGGACTGGCCTGTTCCCAAGGTATTTGATTCATAATATTGGCGTCCAACGGACTCAACCTCAGCTAAGCTAATCGAATTTTGCGGTAGCCATGGATCGCAGCCACTCAGCACGTGCTCGAAGAGACGCAGCCACCTTGCGAAGTAGAACTTGCCACCGGTCAACAAGATGATTGCCACGTCCGACAGCTTTGGCTGGGGATGTACGAAGAATTCAGGTCCAGACGACAGGTAAGTTATGTTTACCTATGGTCCAAGTTGTCAGTTATGGAGAAACTAACTATGGACAGAATATATGTGGCGTTGCTTTATCGTGAAGGTTCTCCGTAACGGGTCGCCCTTTCAATCATTCCGCTTCAAGATAGTAAGAATCGAGAGAATTACGTCTATTGTTGAAAGCCGGAAGTTCTCGATCTAAACCTAATATACCCCCAGGATCCCAAAAATGTATTCTCAACTTGTCAATCTACAAAGCTGTTACCTATGTACATTTTAATTTTCACTCGTCTTCGAATCTCCAGAAACCAATGCATTGAGTAAATATGTTGATCGCAGCATTTGTGGCCCATTTACATATGTATGCCAGCATTTACGAGTAAAGCGTTATCTCCTGTGGCTTCAAGTGTTTCGATAAACCAATTGGGTATAATCTGCCAAGCCTACAATCAGTGGTAGTTCAAAAATCACACTATCCTGTGCCGAATTGAATTATCCGACAGGGTGCTTAATAGCTCTTCTTAACTACTGTAAAGTCGGTCAATTAAGACATATTATGTCAAGACTACTGCCCGAGTACTACAGCAAGTTCTACAGTAGAGACTATCATATATATCAATCATATACTAGTCTCCGCTTCTCTGGACTATGAGGTACTCGACAGATCATGAACCCCTACAGCACAGATGTGCTTATAATAGCAAAGGAATTGGGGATGTGACTTCATCTGTGGTTCGTCGCATGAGGGGCTCATAAGACTACGGGCTATGCCACTCTGCAATATTGCCTCTTTTAGTAACATCATTGGACTTCTGTCCCTGGGTAGCTGTGACAGTTGTGTAAGAATTCCCTTTAGGTGGAGAAAGCGCTTCTGGAAGATTATATTGATGGTGTGCCTAGTATCCACCAATGAAGTGGACACGGCGTACGCGGCTACTAAGTACTAGGTATTAATGCATACCTAAGGAGGTATTCCAATCATTTGCACACCTGCCTGTGTTGTGATTAGTACTAAGCGCCCACCCCCGCACCTGAGCCTTATGGGCGAAACTTAGATGGAAGACAAGCAGTTACGGACCGAGCTATCTATGACCTTCCCAAGAAAACTGCCCAAGTGCAGCGGGCGCGCCGCGCCTTCCTTATTCCTTCTACGCAGAACGACATTATCATCCGTTTTCCTTTATGTTTTAGGTAGTCTTATCAACACAGAAGATACTCAACAGAATGAAAAGACCTCTTCTTTTGAATTCTATCTATCTTTGATCCCTTGTTAGATGTTAGATGCGCCTGCACAGTCCGTGCAGGGAGCACAAGCCGAGTTTTTTACTCTGTTTATCTGGACAGCTAAACCTTTCGGTGATTCTCACCCTTGACAACAGACACCAATATTACAACTGCTGGCCACCTGCAGGTGCTGCTGGATCCGGCTGTTACATCACAGGATAGTGTGGAGTAAGAAAACGCACATTAGGCTCATCTCAGGAGATCCACTTACCTTTAGACCTAGATTTTATCCTCGTTCCAGGAATCGGAGCAATCCCACCTAAAATTGGCTGTTTGTCAACACAGATTGTCTTGCATCCCTACCAGGCTCCGGTGCTAAGGCACGCGTTCTCTCGTACGAATATTCCTCGCCGCTTGCAAGCAGAAAGCTCTCATGGGAGTCGATTGTGATGCTAGATTATGACCTTCTCCAGAATTTAAGCGGATTTTAGATCAGGTTCAGGCCTAGATTCGGTAGCTAAGCTGTCGTGGTTCTGTTTCCTTGGCGCGGTAGAAACGTGCTAATGTAGTACTTTCAATAGACCACAAAAAGCCAATAATATTGGTCTGTCACAGCTTGGGTGGCATTATAGTCAAGCAGGCTTCGTGTGTTGCTAATAAGCAGATTACTCGGTACGGGTCGATTATCAATACTATAGCTGGCGTCATTTTCTTTGGCACTCCACACCGTTATGGCGACAAGGTACAAGCTTGATGCGTTTTCGAGATATCTGGGAAGCAACAACAGGTAGAAAAATGAAGCTCTCGAAATCCAGTGTCGAGCAAGAAGGCGCTGGTTTGCTCGACCTCGCCGATAGGTTCGAGGGCATCTCCTTCCGGTCTCCGATATTATCGATCTATGACATGAGACAATCGAAGAGCAGATCAATACCGCTACGCTGGAAATACCAGCAGGTCTGTTACAAAACTCTTATGGGGCTGCAGAAGCTGATTTAATCACAGTTGGTTGAACGTGAAGCTTGCTTAACTCATGCCCCTATGGAAACAGTCATTGGCCTCAATATCAACCACCACGATGTTTGTCTTTTGCCAAGAGTGCCGGTAATGAGGGCTACCCGAGTTGGAGAACTTTGTTCACGACACACTACATGATGCCGTGCTTCTTGTTGCCTTTCGACTTGAGGATCATAGGTTGAGAAGCATTGACAAATTTGTGTCATTATGCTAATGGTCCAAGAGGGCTAGCAAGATGTAACGATGAGCAATACTCGACCACAATGAGCGGCCCGTAACCAAGGGGCTAGCTACGTGTTTACATTGAGACTGGTTTTAACACTAGCAGAGCCCCTTTGCATGAAAGCGATGTAGACAAATGGTAGTAGTAGCCCTGTTATTTGCGATATCTAGTAGAATGAAAAAGAAAGTAGATAGAGACGAAAAATAAAAATGGCAAAAACATACAACAGAAGGGATTCGCTGGTGGTCACCCACCCAACTACTAACCTCCCGGCGTGTGGCTTAAGTACGGCTGAGCGGACGGGAAGCCCTGTTTTCCACACCCTGTGGTCGTATGTACTTGCTACGTTGTTTTTCTTGTTTATATCCTACGCTCCACTATCTTTTCCCTCTTTCCCTTCACGCTTTTCCTCCACAGTTCTGTTTATGCCTGCCGTCTGCGCGAGGATTGGTCTGGCCAACTGCATCCCAAAAAATCAAAACAGCCAGTATCAACCACTCTGCCCATTGCTCCTGAATCACTCGTGTTGTACACTCCCAACACAATCCATTCCCACTGGGTTCTACCTGGCTGCTTGGCCTTTGCGAACTGCAGCCCGCGTGGTGGCTGCAACTATCATAGCCTCCTCCTGGTGGGGCCAGGCTATGTATAACGACCTCTAACCACCATGAGTCGCTATCTCACCCCTTCCAAGGTTGCCCTCCTTTGTCTCATCTCCATCTATACTGAAGGTGTTGTTCCCAACTCCTCCGCCATTCATGTCCTCTCGTATCTGGTGACTTGTCTCAGCCCCTTGGAAAGAGAACAATCCGTTTCCCCATCGGGAGATCAGACAACGCAATGCTCCGTCTCCATCACTGACCTGAAGGATAAACTAACGGGCCACCCGTCCTCCATCCCTGGCCGTACAATCTGGGACCTTTTTCTGAAAAAGATCTGGTCCCTCGATTGCTGCGATGCGTTGGAAGTCTTCTTCGCTGATATCTCGGCTATTCTAGCCAAGACTCGAGAAGAACAAATCCGCGATCGAGATGCGGGCCTTGCACCGGAGACGGGCTGTATGCGCCTGTCTCGGAGCTCTCCCTTGGGTGTATTTGTCAGACGTTCCCAGCTAGAATTCACCAGACTGCAATTCCATGACTCGGTCAAGCTCTGGAGGGGGTTTGTCAAGTATCGACTGCCAACGTACCATGTATGGGCGCGGAAGAACCCATCTCTAGAGCAGGCACCCGTGGATATCAATCTGCTAAACCTTGGATTGGATACAACGGATTCCCTTGCGCAGGTCGCCTACGGCAGTATCGAGGATGACTCGGAGGATGAGCAGTACGTCAGCACAAAGGATGTCGAGCGGCTCCTAGAATTCCAAATAAGCGAGCTACAGAGTAATGAGCCCCCTCTACATGCCCGCATATTAAATACTGACTCTTGTTCAGGTCTGGGGGGAAGAGTGCCGGATGGCATGAAAGCACAATTAGAACGCATCATCACGTCCGGTGTGACTGTTCCTAATCTGGTGCACTATCTGAGGTATGCCGTTGGCTAATTGATCTGCGACACCTCGGGATGCTGGCTGACTCTCTAGGTTCCTTGATGCCTGGAGGGCAGGAGATTATCCGTCATCATTTGACAACCTGCACCGTTACTTCGACTGCACTATGCACAGTCGCGACCGAAGCTCCTATCAATACGCGTTGCTTAATCTTGCCATCTTGCAGGCTGATTTCGGATGCTATGGCGAGGCCGTCTCTGCCATGCAGGAGGCTGTTTCCATTGCTCGAGAATCCCACGATATGAACTGCTTGAATTTTTGTATGAGTTGGTTGTATCACTTCGGTAAGGCTTTCCCAGAGCACATGAGAGACGTTCAAAACACAGGAATGCTGGGCAACGAAAAGGAAGGTCTTGCATTTCTTAAAGCCAAGGCAAAAGAAACAGAGATGTGGAGTCTTCTGAGTACGACGTTATTGAGCGAAGCGAAGCTGGAGATGCGTAATGTAAGTCTCCCCATGTCGACCAACCTCATGTATCACTAAACATAACATCTTCCAGGGAGAAAGTCTGGCCTCGTCTATCGAGAACATAATTAGAGCCTCACACCTCAACGTTACAAAGAACCTGGCCAACTCGGTAGGCCCGCAGCTTCTGCTACAGGCTGCACTTTATTCTAGAATTGGTACGCATCCGTATCATGTCATTGTATAAACTCCTCCTAAGACCCTTATTGCAGGCATCACACATTTAGCATGGCTGAGCGGCGAGACCTTTCGCGAATGCTACGCAAACAAAGCACCGTTTGAAGACCATCTCAAGAGCACGTTTCGTAGCTGTCAACTAGTATGTCAAACGTCCTTTCCAGCAAACAACATCACTGACCCTCCAAAGCTAGCACAGCAGGGCCGCTACACAGAGGTATCAGCCCGAATGAACCAGATCTCCCCAGACAAGCTTCGATCGCTCAAAACATACCAATATTGGACCTTCTTCTCTGGTATACTCCAGTTGCAACAGCAGATATACCGGTAGGTTCCTGGACCTCAATTGCATGACAACCCACTCACAGCATCTAGCGACAACCGAGTTGCAGCCGAACACCTCCTCGCTCAACTGCAAGCCATCCAACTCCCTGACAACGACATTACCCTTCTTCTTTCCATCCTCACGATCGACCTCCGTATTCGACAAGGCCACTACGGCGGCGCGCTTGAACTGGTTGAAAAAGCCGCACAGGCTATCCAGCAAGACAACTTTGACATTTTCACGCAAGTCAAGCTCCTCTGTCTCAAGGCTTCCATCCTCCAGAAGACAGGCCATCCACAACGCGGCTTCTCCCTTGCCATGAGAGCCGCCAGTATCGCGCACCGCTCGCGTCTCCTTCCCAGCCTCTGGGAATCCATATGCGTGCTGGCAGGAGTCCTTCTGAGCATGCGCGAGGTCGAAGCCGTGTCTGAGCTGATTGAGAGCATCATGCCGCAGATTCTCGAAACGGGTGACTGTAGCTTGGCTGCACAGGCCTACTCGCTTCTTGTGGACGCGAATATGGGGATCGCGGGCTCTCTCTGGAGTGAGGGACAGACGAACTCGGTTCTGCGGAAGGAACATGTCACTCGCGCTTTGGGGTACCTCGACTGTGCATATGAACAATATGAGGAGATTGAAGATATCAAGGGCCAATGTGAAATGGTGGCCAAGAAAGCCACTGTTATGCATTTAACGGGCGATCCGGTCCTCGCAAATGACTATGCGGCGAAGTACTTGGACTTGAAGAGACAAGCAAGGATAGACTTCGGGGAGGCTTGATCGAATCACGCACTGATGTCAATTGTATGTTTAAAATACTGCAAAATGACAGGGGAAACAACAAATCTACCAACAAAGTCTTTGGCGTCGGCCTCTGCGCCAGTTTACTCCTGTAATACGGGTAGAATTGATACCCAAGAAAGCCAATACGACCGTTACTGGTCATTAGAAACAACGAGGCAGCACAACAAAAGAAAAATGGCTTAGCAGTATTGTATGGTGCGCTATCTCAAATCCACCGACGAGAGCCTTGGCCTCGTTATTCTCACTTCCGCGTATTTTGTCAGTAAATATACATGTCTTTTGATTTGCCCTCCCGTCAACAGTCAGAATCAATCAAAAAAGACGCTGTACTCCCAAAATCGACAGCGGCCACTTAGGTAGCCTTGTCCTTGTTGTGGTAGTTGACGTCGGAGTTCCAGCTGTGAGTTTGTTAGAAGGCATGGTTATAAATGACTATCGAGCTGTACGCGACGCTGGACGGTTCTGGCGTAAGGAACTTACAAGATGGTCTGGTAAAAAGATAACATCGTCAGCAACCAAATTAACATTGATAAAAGTATACAAGTTCTGGTACGCACCTTGTCACCGTCTCCCCAGGGGAAGTTCTTCACACGGATGTTCTGGTAGGGGTACTCAGTACGCTCCTCGAGCGGGGGCATGTGCGCCCAGTGCTCCCAGTGCTCGTTCCAGAGGTTGTAAGAGTTGATTCCTCCGGCAATCAGGATAGGAATGACGGCGCTGCGAGGAAAATAAAATGTTACTAGAAGTTCAATTGAGGTAGTAATAGCTGGTTCCACATACTAGATGGAGAGCTTGCGCCACAGGTCTGAAGTAGGAAGACCAGCCATTGAGTTAGCACAACCACACCCTTGAAAAACCACGACATCAATTGATCTAGATACGCACCACTGGTAGCAGCAGCATGGTGCTTAACGGCCTCTCTCTCGCGGTTGAATTCGTTGTCGGCGGCCCAAGAGGGAAGCTTGGAGTCGGAGCTGTTGAGACGGCGCTGGACGGTGGAGCGGACCGGAGCAGCACGCAGCTGCTGGGCAGCGCGCTGGGACAGACGAAGGGCGTTACGCTGAGGGAACATGGCTGGAGGTGGGATGGTGTGGAGGAGTGACGTTGGAGAGATGGGACGACGTCTTTGACGGTGGGATTATCCCGGACGTCGGCCCTTCCGGCTTAACGAAACAAAAGCCGTTTAGCGTCCCCGTGATTCGCTGGCTCCCCATCAGGCTTATGTCAGCAACTGCCTCAGATCGCGTGATGTCACGGTCACGGGGATGGAGTGGCTAGTCATGGTCACGTGCAATATGTCTCCGGCAGTCTATGTCTTTCTGGATGTAGACTGCCTGAGGCACATATTATTGCTGCCTTCGGTTCAGCGTTGCCTCGTTGCCTCCCTTCTTTTCCTGCTTGCATTGGCGAGGTAAATAACTGCTTTGTAACTACTACTACACCTCTGTTGATGTGAATCATCGGCGTCGGTGTCAACTATCAAGTTGGTAGCTTTACATGAGTGGTGGGCTTTTATCTATCAATATTCGTTGAATGAGATACTCTCGTAACTCCTGGGCGGACATGTGTGATTGGCATCCATAGTGCCGGAATGGGGTTTCGAATTACAACATGGAACGGTATGATTCCCGGGCCCTAACCCCTGCCATAAGGATGCTAACAGTGCACAGTCAACGGGATACGGTATGTGATGCTGTCTGGTGCATGCTGGAATAGCATTGCTGATCTACCAATGCAGAAATCCGTTTTCTTACGAGCCATGGAGAGGCAAGCGGACGTTCGATGTATGCTTTCCATCATTTCTTCTACAAACAGAAGACTGACTTCAATAAGGCCATGTTTGACATCCTCGAGGCCGATATTGTTGTCTTTCAGGAAACAAAAATCCAGCGCAAAGACTTGCGCGATGACATGGTCCTAGTGCCTGGTTGGGATTGTTATTTCAGTTTGCCTAGAGTCAAGAAAGGTATGTGGATATGGCTGTGAATGAATGCTTGTCTGTTCAACCACCATAGGTTATTCTGGTGTCGTGATCTACACACGCAATTCTACATGTGCCCCCATTCGCGCTGAGGAAGGTCTTTCGGGGATGTTATGCCCCCCGAACTCGTCGGTACCTTTTCGGGAACTTCCTGAGAATCAGCAGATCGGTGGCTATCCAACCATCGAGCAATTGTCGCAGTTTGATGTTGATGCAGCCACGCTAGACTCCGAGGGACGTTGCGTCATTCTCGAGTTTCCCGCCTTTGTCCTGCTGGGCATCTATTCACCGGCCAATAGAGATGAGAGCCGCGACTCATTCCGCCGCAATTTTATCGACCTGATGGACGCGCGGATCCGTAACCTAGTAGCTATGGGAAAGAGGGTGTTTGTGACGGGGGACTTGAATATCTCGCGGGGAGAGATCGATGCAGCTCATGCGGGGGAGGCTATCCGAAAAGGGACATTGACAGAAGACGAGTTCGTATCCACTCATGCACGACGTGTATTCAATCAGTTGCTATCCGACGGGAAGGTGATTGGGGAACGGGAAGAAGGAAGAGAACAGCCTGTTCTGCATGACATCTGTCGCTCTTTTCATCCGGACCGCAAGGGAATGTACACCTGCTGGGAGCAGCGAATCAATGCTCGCCCGGGAAATTATGGCTCAAGAATTGACTATGTCTTGTGCAGCTTGGATATGCAAGACTGGTTCTGCGATTCAAACATACAGGAAGGACTTATGGTAGTCTAGTCTTCCCTGACCCAGAAGAGAGCTTGCTAATCATGACTGCGCAGGGCTCTGACCATTGTCCTGTGTATGCGACGTTCAAAGAAACCGTACATCTTGGGGGGAAGCAAATCAACATCCGGGACATCATGAACCCTCCTGGAATGTTCGAAAACGGCGAGCGTCGACAAGAGTATACGGCGAAGTGTTTACTACCGACTTCGGGCCGCTTGATACCTGAATTTGACAAACGAAGGAGCATCAAGGACATGTTCACGCGCAGACCCAATAACGCCCCCCAGAGCTCCCCAACTAGTACCCCTACGCTTTCCCGTGCGGAGTCGGATCATGGAGAATCGAAAGCTGTCATCGGAAAGCTCTCAACGGAATCAGTCGCCAACCACGCCATTCCCAAGAACGATCCCCAGCCCAAGGGAATTGTCCGTAAACGGTCCGAGAAAGGCGACTCCCCTGTTAAACGTTCCAAATCAGTAGCTGGCGTAGCACCCACGCCGGCGATTGCTGGACAGAGAACACTCAAGGGATTCTTCAAACCGAAGAGTTCCCCAGCCATACAGAGCCGTGATCAACCAACGACCGACCTTGAAACATGTGCCATGCCACAACCTGCATCCCCATCCAGGATGATTTCTTCGGCAGAGTCACAAGCAATAGACGAGGAGCAAATTGCGGCGGCCGTGACCACAGACGCCACAAAGGAAACCAATCCACCGGTGTCAACGACATCAGACACCCCGACAGATGATGACACATTCGTCGACCCAATTGCGAGCAAGGAAGATTGGTCGAAGCTATTTACCAAAAAGCGCGCGCCCCTATGCGAAAGTCACCAGGAGCCATGCATTAGTTTGACAACCAAAAAGCCTGGCGTCAACTGTGGGCGATCCTTTTGGATTTGTCCTCGGCCTCTTGGGCCCAGTGGCAACAAGGAGAAAGGTACACAATGGCGCTGTCCGACATTTATATGGGCAAGTGATAGGAATTCTTCGGTGTCGTAGGTAGCCACAGCAACAAATGAAACAATATCACAGGTTATGTTCTGTATTTTCATCGTAAGGTAGTCATTGCTGTTTGTAATAACAACGTTCACCATAAACACAACGCGCGTCTGATGTAACAGACGCCGCGCAAGTTACGTAGTCAGAACTTCAGCTTACAGTCCACACTCTGTTGGTTCCCCGGCTAATATCATACTCGCATTGTACCCATAGCTACTTAATGAGTAATGACAATAAGTTTCGGCTGAGTATATCTCGTGCCTCGTAGCAACAAGCCTCGGCAACTCATAGGACCCCTTCGTCTACCCACAACTGCAGTAAGAGACATTTTTAGATGGATTCTTGTCGGCTTGCCTGCTTCGTATCAATATGGCAACTGGATATCTCTCGCCTTTAGTCTGGCCAGTGAATGAAGCTGCCCAAAACATTTCTGGTCCCCTCGACAGACAAGCCCAGATCAAGTCTCACATAATACCGTTTATTTGTGGGTCCAGACATTTCTCAATGAAGTAACACTCAACCAGCCCCCTCTTTTGACGTCTCTCCAGCCTGATAGCTTACTCGTCAATTCACAGGTACTGCAGATCTTGCCCAATTTTCAATACGACTAGAATATTGCCACAATACAAGCCTTGGTTGGTGAGTTACAGAAATGCAGGGGGTGGGTGCTTAATTGTTGGCCCTAATGCTCATGTTCGCTCTCTAATGTAAGTTGACAGTGTGCGCTAGTGCTACGCACACTATCAAAGATGCATATATTATTCGGCTTCTTGGATAAACCTGTACTATCTGATAGACTTGTCTAAATATGTTGTCATTGCGAAACATACATGCTCCTTAACTAAATATAGATATGGTTTCATCGCCGCCTGCTTTTATTTTATCAGAGGATGAAATAACCGAAAATAAAGTACCTAGTAGAGTTTGGTGACATGATTCTAAGCCAGGTACATAGGGGTATAGTGTGGACGCGACAATTCCATATAAAGAACCTGTCGTGTCCTCTAATTTTCGTGCTGGCCGTTGAAGACCGTATAATAGATATAGAAAATGGGAGGAACAAAGGCGGAAAGTGAAAATATGCTTTCCCCTTTCAATAAAGATCGGAAATAAATTCTGAGAAGTTGACAGTTTCGCCAAGATGTCGGTCTGTTAAGTTGACATGGGCCGATGGAGAGGCATACACTCCTGTTCCTTTTCCGATGTCTGTATGAACCTGCCCGATCAACGAACCCAATGTCTCCGTGTCTAACTGGAAGTGATCGGCCGCTAACAGTGGTAGTTCGCTTGGCATAATGTCGCTGCATATCAATTCGCTGGGGTAAATCTCTGGCATATTGTATTCTGCAAAGATATTCATCGTTCCTTCAATTCCCATATCGTTTATCGGCCCATATGTGTCGATTGACGGACTTGTTGATATGGTGCTGGCCGTCGTGAGATCTGGAGACTTGTTCTCTACAGTCTGTTTGGAATTTCGGCGAGATGATGTTCGACGCTTCTTTTCCGATGGTTTACGTGGTGTGTATTGGTAGTCGGGATGAGCTTCTGCATGCTTCCGCTTCAACTCATCGGCCAGGGCTCTGAACTCGACCCTGATATCCTCGGATTCTGCCTTCCACTGCTTCCCTAGAATAACAGCTGGGGAAATTAGTCGATTATCCAACGTATGCACAGTAGTGGAAACTCACAGATCTCGTTATTTGAAAGATTCGGGTGAGCCTCCTTGAGCTTAGGATGATGATGTTGGCGGTACAGGATAAATGCATTTGGCGGACGAGGAACCTTAGCAGCCTTAACAGTAACAGAAGACCGCTCATGCTTCTTCATATGAGCTGTGATTGATTCGCATGGCACCTCATGGGATGCTACAGATATTGCTGTGCCTGAAAACGCTGGAGTACGCATGACACGAACAGCGTTGATTGACTCATCGGCGAAAGCCACAACTGAAGCACCTATGAGAGCACTAATACCATATATGAGCACATAATTGATCAATTGTGGTTATAGCTGTCTTACCCAAGGCGAGACTTGATCTTGTTAACATTGGTCTGGCCGATCATGTCGATGACATTTATTGGAAGTAGAACTTCATTATTCGTGGATCCAAGATGGCGCAAGGCATCTTGCCAAAGTAGCTCTGTAAGCTTGTCGCTGGTCTCAGTAGTTGGCTTCAATGCTTGAGGTATAGAAGTCATCTTGGCATTTGATATAAAGGCAAAGGAAGACTCAAGGTATGAACAGATTAATCATGATCTTGAGCAGCGGTTATAGAGTCATGGGAGCAATTATGGGAAAGCATCAGAAATTACAAGCATAGAAGTAACTCAGAGACAGTCTTAAATTATAAGACTCTTTCTGTATTAAATGGTGCCCACTTGTGTTAGACTTGACAGATGGAGCTGTGTCTAGGCGGTGGCGCTAGCGGGTACTATTCTTTGTTGACGTGAATCTAATAACGAAGCTATACGAGTTCTGTGTTTGGCTTCGAAGGCGCTTGTTGATTGTTTGTTTGCGCTAATACATACACACCACCAGTCAAACTTTCTATGTTAGTCTTCTTTCTTGACATCCTTTCTACATTTCTGTCCTATCACTTTCTAGTACCGTTCATCTTCCTCCTCCTTGTACCTCTGAACACATTCGGTTCCAGAATCTAACAGTTCCTCTTTGTTCTTCACGATGGGGTTTAAGATCCATGCCCTACTGCACTATCTTGATGGTGTAGCTGGCAATACTCTGCTTGCTGCTGAAATTCGCGAGAGAGCGGCATTTATCTCGGCTTCTTTCCTTGTCCACCAGAGTGTTGCTAGACTCATGGCGCATGTTACTGCATTGGCGAACGGCGAAGATTTGAATCTCCATTTCCATCAGAGATATGGCCCAAGCAAATCTGTTGATGTACCTGTCCGTCGTCACTGGAAACCTCTGAAGGCCATCATGGCCGACTATTGTGTTAATGCATCCGTTGCCGACATCGAAGGTCACCCCATCCAGCTTATTAGCATCCTTGACCCAACAATTGAAAAGTTGCTCCAAGGGGAAGACCTGTTTCAATTCCACTATGCCCTTGTCCGTGCTGAGCAGATGGCAAACGAAGATCTCGCTCGGTTGGCAAAAGACTATGGTTACCATTATATCTTCAGAATTGGTCTTATGCAATATTATATGACGTGAGTTGAATGTTGATGTACACAGCGTCTTGAAAAAAAGTGCTAATGATGCAGCAAAACTGTTGTTGAAACAATCAATTTCTTCAAATCGGATTCTCGTGGTTCCTCTTGTCCAATTGTTGTCCAGACTTCCTTGTACAATGCAATGGAGAAGCGTGTCAATTTGAGTGCCACTGAAAAAGAGCTCGTCTTGCAATCCGTTGATTGCCAGCCATGTGATGCACACAGATTCTGCAAGTATCAATCGTTTGCTGCTATAGGCTATGCTAACAAATTAGGGGCGTGGTTGGAGCGCAACCGTGTTGCCTACAACGCGATGAACGCCTGTATTTCCCTACTGAATAAAATTGAGGGTAGTAAGTATCCGACCCTTTGCCCTAAATAGTGCTAAATAAAATTTTATCAAGTGGCAGTCCTCTGATTTCTGGTCATTGGTTCCCGGCATTCTTCGATACACAGTATGACACACGCCAAAATAACCACGGAATGATCCTGGAGTGTCCGGGCCCAAATAAGGACCTCAACGCCACTACAGCGAACAACTCAGTGGTCCGAAGATATATCTGACGTCACATCAAGCGACTGTCGGGGCTTAGCGACGCTCTGGTGGATTACCAGCTTGTCGTCTTATCACCGCATTCCAGACCGAAGTCCCGAAGAGATAGCTATCTGGACGGTGGCCTCAATCCACACACTTCACGCATCTTAGAGTCGAAATTCTCATCACGGTACTATGTTACCGTGATTTTACAAAGATTACCAGTTTATATTTCTATACCCAGACCGTGTCGCTGGGAAATATGGTTGAAAGGGGAAAACTCTATAATCTGGAGGGTACATAAATGTTCATGTTAGGAGATAGATACACCAATACAAAATAAACTTCCACACAGCCACGCGATGCAGCTAATAGGGCCTCCGCAACATCGTAGACGAGGATGCATCCAAGACAGGGGCACCTGGACCAGGTCGATGCCCTGAACTCTGTATTCCACCCTCCACAAATGGCACGGAGGTACGGGTGAAACTTTTAGCTGTTCAGCGTGATGATATCCGACCCTCCGAACTCCTCCGTGTCCGCCCATGAGTCCGACACATTTATCTCGGTAACTGGCGATGCAGATATAGCTATGAAGCCACAGGTTTGAACAGATGACTTTCCACCTCGCTGCACGGTTGCGAGCGACAACAAAGAAATAAGGCGGACGAGCCACGGGCGAGAAGGCAAGACGCGGCGCCACCGGGACGGAAATGGACATGACCCCTCAGTTCGTCTGCCACCAGCCGACTTTCTGCACGCGCGACTGACTTCCTCACGGACAAAGAGGCCAAGTCCCCGCCATTGTGACCGACGGATGCGGACCGGAGCAGCAATGGAAGTGTCCGTGTCCACTGTTCCAGGTCTAGAGGCGCCGGAAATCCCACTCCTTCAAGTCTAGCAATCAGCGACCAGGTGAGAATCGGTGGATCCACGAGTGCGGTTATGCTTCTTCCACCATGGGCTGGGGACCCCAGGGGCTTGCTGCTGAGCTTCCCGGGTGGCTATTGCTATTAGTTGCCAAGTGCTGTTGCTTTCCATACCTCTGGGCCCGTGAACTGAACTTAGTCCTGCAGCATCAAAGATCCACTCTTCTGCAGTACTTTTGTTTTGAGCCTAAACCGCGGTTTTCCAAAGTCTTCGTTCAACCTCCTTGTCGGCCACCACTACAGCGGCGCCAATGACTGTCCCAGGTTTTCCATCGCCATCGACCAGTCAATATGACCTGTCTCCTCCATTTGGACTATGATTCGGTCTAGATTTTTATGCCTACGCGCGGAACTCTGGATTTGACAGTGCTGATGTATTACCGTCCGGTATGCTTCAGCCAGTATGCAGAACACCTATCAATCCTATCTGTGAAAGCCCCGGACTTGAAAGTTTTCGACCATCATTTCTACACTATCTTGATGGAATTATTACATTCGAAGTGGTATCAACATGTTTGATTTCTTTTGAGTGACCGTGATAGCCTTGACGTCTACACCCCGTTTTTCGCGCACACGATGGTCACTGGATAGCTAGGTAAGCCAAACCCCCTCCACCGCATTGTATAGCATGACCTCCCTAGTACTTAACTCATGCTGCTGATTGATCTTAGTATTGTGTAATCCTGGTATTTGACCCCGGTTGGCTTGAACCCTGACGGCTGTGGATTCCCTCCTATGCTATGACCTTTGTATACAGTCCTGAGATCCAGGCACAAGCTATTGGCTCTTGATCTAGACACGAATTCCTTTCCAATCGCTGTTGCAAATGAACTCAGAATCATTCGCACTTGAAAGTACGATTTTATCATTGTTTTGAGTGTATTGGAGAAAGATTCAAATCAACTTACGCATCTTATCACGAGTTTTGAGTAGATAGTATAGTTGATCTTATCTTATAGACCCAGAGGGCTCTAGTAGGACCGTAGAATAGAATTATTATTACAAACAGCTTTCATAACATCTGCTCCGCTGATGATGCTATTCAAGTATGTTACAACAAGGAAGAACACATACAAATGAATAAGAATGATCTTTGCTTTCCAATTCTGCATCACATCTTACGATAAGGTTGTCATATAGGGTGCAACGAGAGTCTCAGACCGGGGCGAACGAGGCAGTTGGAGCCAAAGGCCTCTGTGGTATCCGCAGTGAATGATGATCTGGATGTTCTGGTGCTGCATCTGCTCCACCGAAAATCTCGTCTATGTGGCCTCTGTTTATGACACACTTCACTGACGCGCGATTCTGTTTACTCTTCATCTGTGAAATCATACTTCAACCTCTCGGTGATCACCTCTTGAATACATTCCAAACTGAAAATAGAAGAAAGAAAAAAAGAATGGCTCGGTCTCGAAAGAAAAGAAAAGCTTCAGCGCAGGACGTCCCACATGGAGACCCAGAAGAAAGTACTCCTGAGACTCATCAAGGAATAGTAGAGCCATCTGCACCTACTCACCGTATGGGCCACGAGAGTTCCAAATTGAAGGCTTCGAAATCTATAACTGCTCTAGGTTTGAGCTCAGACGACAAGTTGGTTGCCATCGCACTTGAGAAACGCATAAGCATCTATAAGCGAGTGGGTAGCACTTTCAAATTCATTGATGAATCAGGAGAAGAGCCAATCAACATCTTGCAACTTTCCTTTGCACCAAATGCGACAAGTACTGGAGGATATATTCTTGTTTCATCAGCAAACAAGATCAAAGTTTGGTATCTCAATAGCGAAGGGAAAATACTGGATCCCTCGGGCGTTCAGAAAGTCGACATGTTGCAGCTTTCGACCGAAGCAGCTGAAGGAATAACTACGAAGCTTGTCCGTACCCATGGGTGGCGACAAAATGAGGAAGCGATTTTGCCAATACAACAGGCAATCAAGGACACATTGAGCAAAGCATTGGATACCCATATGAGCGAGTATCAAACCAAGCTGGAAGGAAATACTGCACTCTTCAGTCCGGACGGGAAATTCATGATATGTTTCACCCAGGACGAAGCTTTCAGGACCAAAGAACCTTGGCATCTCCAGGAAATCATAGTCTGGAATATCGAAGCCAGGCGGCCTCGACACAACTTAACTAGCAATTCGGGTACATTCCTGTGGGTGAGCATTAGTCCAGACTCAAAATTGATTGCAGCCATTCAAAGGGACAACACGGTTCTATTTTGGTCGGCCGACAGTGGCAATCTCAAAAGCTTCCCTTGCCTTACTCACACTGCTGGCGCATGGAGTGGGAGATTCTCCCCGGATTCTAAACAGATCGCCTTGGTCCTGGACGGCACTGGACCATCGAAGATAAGAATCTTTAACATAGCCACTACAGCCATGATATTCGAGTGGGAGTGTCCTGCATTTTCAATCGAATCTATGGATTGGAGTCCTAATGGCAAACTCCTGGCTACCGCAGGCCACTCTGGTGAGTTTATCCTCTGGGATGTTACAAACGGGCTGGAAAGGATGAAATGGCTTCCGTATCAACGTGGGGTGGAAGATGATCCGGATTCCTACTTGACTTCCGACATACAGTTTTTCGATGGTGGAAAGAAGCTCGTCTATAACTGGAGTGGTGTGGCCACTATGGTCTATGATTTCGTGTCCCTTGCTATGCATGAGTTTCCCCCGGGTGCGGCGGGTGTTAGAGGACGAGTTTGCTCCAGCAATTCTGAGTTCCTACTCATCGCTCATAATGATTCGACATTGAGGCAGTGGAAGCTGGGTTAGGAGTATGGTTGTGTGCTGTCTGAATGGTTGTGGTTAACTACTGTTGGGTGGCACTATTCTCTGTACTGATTTCTCTGGGAACAGAGTGGGGAGGTAACGGGGCTGGGGTTAGGAAATGGCACAGGGTTCAGTCATGCTTTGCACAGAGTACCGTCTAGTTTGAGTCTACACATAACATGCAATAACGGATGTATCAATTTCTAGAACTACCAGAGTAATAAGAGTCCTTAGGGACAGAAAGTAATCCAACATCCACTTCTTGTCTAACAAACCAATCTAGTTTCCGCGTACCTATACTATCCATAGCGAGCATTCACAGGCTCATCATCGAACCAAACCGGAGGCACCCCATAATTGATAATCGTACTCTTAACCTTTGTATAGCTTTCATATGCCTCCAACCCATTCTCTTTCCCCATTCCACTCTGCTTAAAACCACCCCACGGCGACGACGGATCATTCAGATGGTGTCCATTAATCCACACAATCCCTGCCTCAATCTTGTCCGCCACTCGATGTGCCTGGTAGAAATCAGTCGTCCAGATTGAAGCCCCCAGCGCCAACGAAGACGCATTGGCAATGCGAATGACATCCTCCTCCGAATGGCACCTGATCAGCGCAATGACCGGTCCAAACACCTCGTTGCATTCCAGATCCGTCTGTGGACGCGTCTCAATGACCGTCGGCTCGAAGTAGTACCCTTTTCCAGTGGAGGGATTGGTAGTCGCATGTCCACCACAGAGGACCTTTCCACCCTCCTGCACAGCTCTTTCCACAAATGCAGCGCATCTTTCCACCGCTGTCTTGGATATAACCGTTCCAATCTGCGTCGTGTCATCAAGTGGGTTACCAAGCCGTAACTTTTTAACCCGTTCCTTTAGCAACGCCGTGAACTCGTCGTAGATATCCGTGTGAACAAGCAGCCTACTCCCCGTAACGCATGTCTGTCCACTAGCAATGAAGCTCGCAAACAGCGTCGCCTTAACCGCATCCTCGATACCCACGCCGGGGAACAAGCACACAGGTGCCTTTCCGCCGAGTTCAGCCGTAATGGGGATGAGATTCGTCGATGCAGATGGTGCAATAGCTTTGTATGTTGCTAGTCCACCAGTCAAGTCTATCTTCGCCAGCAAGGGGCTCTCACATAGATACTTCCCCGTCTCGTACCCATATCCGCTGATAATCTGCAACACGCCATCAGGTAGCCCTGCGTCTTTGAACAATACACCCAGCCTCAGCACAGACAGAGGTGCTAGCTCTGATGCTTTCACAATGACGACATTCCCTCCAGCCAGTGCAGCCCCGATTTTCTTCATGGCGATGAGAAGCGGGTGGTTGTATGGTGTGATCAACGCTACAACACCGAGCGGTAGCCGTGTCAGGGTGTTCACGACTGGTCCCTTGAAGGGAGTTACTCGGCCTTCGTGAACGCGTACTACGGAGGCATAATACTCGAGCCATTCAGGGATACGATCTAGCTGGGCGCGCATCTCGCGGATAGGACGGCCGGTTTGGCGAGTCTCCAGTTGAATGAATTCTGGGAGACGGGAGCGGAGGAGACGAGCTGCGGTCGAGAGGACGGTGAAGCGTGTGGATTGGTCAGCGCGGGACCAGGAGCCATTGTTGAAGGTTTTTAGGGATTCGGTGATGATTAGGTTGACGGTCTCTTTGGAGGTCGAGTCGATGGTTGCGATAGGGAGCTCGGTGGCTGGGTTGATGACGGGGATACGTGATGTAGTTGCGGTCGTATGGGTACCATTGACCCAGTTGGAGACGTGAGGGATTCTGGCTGTCATTTTGGAGAGATAAAGATATGAAGTAGTGTAGGGTTAGGTGGATGTGTTAAAGTTGGATGGAATATATGGATGATATAGTATCGGGGCTACCCCGCACGCGTGCCTGATAAGCCGGAATTATTGCCCGCATCTTTTCCATATCTTCTTCTTCCTCTTCCTCTTCCTCCTCATTCCTGTCACTATCACGATAACATTGATCCAGAGATACCAGTGGGGCAGCAATCTTATATCTGGGGTGGCTCTTGAGATATTCTTCTGATAAGATCACATTGTTACTTTGCTTTCCGTTCGAGCGAATGCTTCCCTGACCTTCAATCAGGGTTCCCCTTCACTTCAGCGGAATCAATAAACACTTGAGTATGAAGGGAACTCCCCGTAGGAGAATCTTTTAAGACTGCCCGACAGTTGAATGAAGGCTGACTATTGTCTTGATCCAGACGGCTTCAAGGTTGCCGAGTGACTCACTCGTCCATCCGTGTCTCCACTCCACCCGATCATTATCTATTCAGGATCAGCAGCATATAGACCCATCATTGCATCCTACCTGGCATTATACAATATCTACCATGTCTTTCAAAGACAGGTCTACATTTACAGCTCGTGATACCATCACGTATCTTTGGCAGGGACTCCATCTTCCACCAGACACCCTTGACTCTCTTTGTATCAGCGAACCTCCCAATCCCGGCTTTCCCTCCTCCTTCAAAATCGGCCATATCGCTCAAGCCTCAATTGCACTCTCTGCTCTCCTGGCATCGCAGATACATAGCCTCAGGAATAACATCACCCCTCCCAAAGTCACTGTCCCCTATGATCATGCCTGCATCGAGTTCAACTCCGCACGCCTGTACACTCTAAACGGCCAGCCTCCCTCTTCAGATTGGGGGCTCATTGGCGGTCTTTATCGATCATCTGACGGCTACGTCCGCGTTCATGATTCGTTCCCCAACCACCGTGAGGGAACAAAATCCCTTCTCGGCTGCTCTCCAACCGCAACCAGAGACGATGTAGCTTCCAAGATCTCGGCATGGCGCTCCGTGGACCTCGAAACCACTGCTGTTGATGCCAAGCTGGCCATTACTGCTCTCCGCAGTTACGAACAATGGGATGTGTTGCCGCAAGCCAAAGCCATCGCAGACTTTCCCATCCTGCTTCGCAAAATCGGCGACGCCCCGCCTAGTCTTCCCGCCCGGATCGGCCCACACGCCGATAAATGTCTGCGGGGGCTCCGTGTTCTTGAGCTCTCGCGGGTCATTGCGGCCCCGTTGTGCGGGAAGACACTGGCCGCACACGGTGCCGATGTGCTTTGGGTGACAAGTCCTCATCTACCCGACCTGCCAGGACTCGATCGGGAATTCGGCCGCGGAAAGAGAACCGTCCAATTCGATCTGCAAGACGAGCAAGACACAGAGGAGTTCTTCGGTTTGCTCGACGATACCGATGTCTTCATCCAGGGGTATAGACCGGGCAGTCTAGCTGCCCGTGGACTCTCGCCAGAGTCGATCATGAGTAGACGTCCCAATAGTGGTATCATCTACGCAAACATGTCTGCATACGGCCCCAATGGCCCCTGGTCAGCGCGTCGAGGCTTTGACTCCCTGGTTCAAACCTGCTCCGGCATGAACGTTTCGGAGGCCGAGCACTTCGGTGCTGGGGAAGCCGCACGTCCACTTCCCTGTCAGGCGCTCGATCATGCCGGGGGCTTCTTCCTCGCGTCCGGGATCATGGCCGCGCTGTACAAGCAAGCAACGGAAGGGGGATCCTGGCAGGTGGATGTCTCGCTAGCAGGGGTGATGAAATACCTGCGCTCGCTAGGCCAATACGAAGAGAAGACAGGGTTTCAAGAGTCACCAGATTATACTCGCCCCCAAAATGTTCCGACCGAGTATTTCGAGACTCGAAGCACGGGGTTTGGGGAGATGACCGCCATTCGTCACGCTGCGAACATTGAAGGGGTTGAGATCGGCTGCGAAGTTATGCCCAAACCACTCGGCTCTGACGAAAAGCGGTGGCTGGAGCCATTGCAATAATGGAATGCATTCTAGGATATTATCTACCCCGCATCACCGAGAATGCAGAAAGTGACGACACAAAGAAAAAGCACTGGTTCCGTGGCGTGTGCATCCAAACAAAGTAATCATGCTACCCAATAGTACTCCACCACGACAGCCCAGTTCCCAAGGCTGAGGCCCAGGCCAGCTGCACGGCTGACAGAAATGGGTCAAGTTTGCTTTTGCTCCCTGCAGAAGCGGCCACTGCCCTGTGATCCGGTCACGCCCGAGGCCGAATAGACGCTCCGTAGGAAAAAGAAATGGATGGATACACAACCATTGGCAAAGGTTAAATAGCACAATGGCTCCCAGGGCCATATCAGAGGGGTTCTGTGCAACTGACGCCGGTTTTCCCACCCAATATATTTAGCAACCCACCTGCTGTTTACTGTAGTATCTGCCTGGGAAACAGAAACGCTAAGAGCGCGGATTAGGACACCATGAAAGTCATCATAATAGGAGGGGATGTTTCGGCCTTCGTGTGCGCAATTACTTGTCGTCGCGAAAATCTGGACGTGATCGTGCTCGAGTCTGAACAAGATACTGAGGTACCACGAACCTCCCATCTCGAAATGCGCCCGGCCACAAATCATCAAAGATAGACTTGCTTACCCAGATATTCTTGCATTAGACTACCCCGGGCGTCCAGATCCCGCCTAACGGAACACATCTCCTCCGCCGATTGGGTTTGCTCAATGCAGTACTCGAGAAGGGGGATATACTCCAGACGATTGATTTCCGACGATATGCCGATGGAGGAGTGACCAGATCGATGCCATGCGGGGAGGAGACGTGTCGAGTATATGGAGGGCCATGGATGTAAGCAATCCTCATGATCATTCGCCCAGCAACTAGAGATGTGCTGACTGCATGGAGAACGATCCATCGAGCAGATCTGCTCCAGATCCTCCGAGACAGGGCACGGAAATTGGGTACTGAGATCCGATCTGCCGCAGTGCGAGAAGTAAACAGCAAGACTGCAGAGGTGATCCTGGGAGACGGGGAGAGACTACAAGGAGATGTTGTGATCAAAGCAGACGGTAATCACTCTATCCATTCTACATAAATCCACCTCTAACCCACGATACCAGACAACACAATCAACGAACCCCCCTCACCAAGCACACCAAACGAGACAGAAACCATCTACCAAACGACCATCTCACGCAAACACCTCGAAGCCCTCAACAACCCTAAAATCGACGAACTCTGGCAAGGTCGACACAGCACCACCGTCTGGCTAGGACCCAACCAACACACCGTCTTCTATCCCATCCGACATGGCCAAACATTCATCTTGAACATATACCATACCAGCACTGACAGCAATCCCAGCACCACCCCAACCGCCCAGGAAATATGCACAGGCTGGGACAGCCGGTTCGTCAACCCTCCTCTTCCCCGTTACCCTCCTCCAGAACATACCTCAACTAACAACAAACCGAATACAGCCTCCAAACCATCCTCACCCTCACACCCACCCTAACACCCACTACCTCCTCCTCCAACCACACCCACAACCATCACCACCAAGCCCCAACCCCTCCCCAATCCCTCCTAACCCACCTCCCCACCTCAACAACCCCAGTCCCACCCTACCTCTTCCAAACAACCTCCACAGCCATCGAAGAAGCCCTCACCCTCGGCACCCTCCTCAGCCTCTACAACCAACATACCCACCTACACTTCCACCCGCAACTCAAACCCCAATCCCAATCCCACTCGCACCTCCCCTCCCTCCTAACCCTACACACAACGCTCCGCGCCCCCATCACCACCTCCAAGACACAATCTGCACTCTCCACCCTCCGCACATTCCAACTCGAGAACGGACTTGCCCAGCAAGCGCGGGACTGGGTGCTTAGTGGGGCGGGGATAACGAGGGATACGGATGGGTGGTGGAAGGTTGTGTCGTCGCGACAGGAGGGGGTGTTGGGTGGTGGGGTTGGGTTGGTGGATGAGACGGGGAGGGCGTTTTGGGAGTGGATGAGGGAGAGGGGGGATAGGGAAAGGGAGGGGTCATCGTCGTCGTCTGGGAGGTCGAGTTGTGGGATTGGAGGGTCGAGGAGGAGGTGGTATGCTTGGTGTTGAGATCCGATTTCATGAGGGGTTTGGTTGATTATGTGGGTATTGGGGATTTGTCGTGTTTAGGTTATGATTATTATGAGAGTATGAATTGAATGATTTATTATGAGTGGACCCCAGTAGTAACGAAATTGGGTAAAATACGCTGTGAAGCTAGAAAGATGGGAATATAGTAACGGAGGAATCCTTTCGATCTGATTATATACAGTACAACGATGGCTCGGAGCATGATCGCCCAAACACACGCATGGCTGCTACTCTTGGTATATCCAACAAACAAGCAATGTCACAGAAAACACAACCCGAATAGAATTGCAGCAAAGCCAGGAGACTTAGACCTCCCAGTCTGCTTCCACCCACTAAACCATGACAAACATGCTGGCAGCCACTTAGTCCTCTTGGTAAGAAATCTTCCGCATCTCTCCCAGGCGTTGACGAGCCCGAGAGAGGTTGTTCTCCAGTTGGAGGATCTCGACCTGAAGAAGTCATTAGCATTAATCGATGAAAATATCGGATTGTCGAAATTGGACGTACCTGTTGCTCCATCTCCCGCACCTTGAACTCGTGGGAGCTGAGCTTCGAGTAATCCACCGCTTCGGAATCGTCCTGGTTCTTCTCCTTGATGATATCCTGCACCTGGCGCACCAAGGCCCGGCAGGCCGCACCAACAGCCTTGCTAGCAGTCTCGAGACGATCCTGCGACTTGCTCATGAAGGTAGCCTTGACACGACTGGCTGCCACCAGCTGTGCCGTACTGGCCGCCACATCGTTGGAAGCGACAATCAATTGCTCAGGAGAGTTGCGACCCGAAATGACACCATCGGCGGTCTCAATCAAGGTGTTGGTCGAGCTGGCGACTGCCTTGGCTGCTGAAATCAGACCCTCGGTCCAGCGGTTGTTCTTCTTGTAGAAAGCCGTCCGCGAAGAGCTACCACGACCCTCCCGGACAATCTCTTGCTGCGACGCGGTGGCCGCCTTGATGAGTTCGGCGATGGCGTTGGTCACTGCAATAGCAGCCGCCAGAATGACATCGTTGATCCGAAGCTCATAGGTGCTGAAACCATCACGAGGCTTGTTCTTGAGCTTGGCCAGTCGCTGGGCTGCAGCATCGATAGCATCAGCCGCCCTGGTAAGTTCTTGGTCAACCAAGTCACCCAGATCGCCATTGGTGGCAATCTTGGCACTCTTCGGCGCGAATGCATCAACCAGCTTCGAGAGGGTCTGCAAGTCCCTCTGCACTTCGAGGTTGTTGTTGATCACAACATCAGTCTTTTGCAGCGCCTCTAATCCCTCAAGACGGAAAGACTGCAAGCCTCGGAAGAATCGCACTGTCGCCTGAGCGGATTTGCGGGCTGCGTTGACCAGCTGATCTGCGCTCTTGTCGTCGTTGGCGAAACGCGTCAATCCCTTGGTGTTGCTCAGCACGTCGGCCACTGAGCCAGCGAAGATGGATACAGTCCGGATAATTTCCGCATGCGTGCTGTTGGGCCCGTCCGCAATGAAGTTGTTGAAGGCCGTAGAGAATTCGGTGGCCGAGGCCGAAGCCTTCTCGATCTGCGAAAGCACATACGGCGGAGAGGCGTTCTGGTTACCAGCCTGCATGGAGGAGTCAAGCTCATACAGAGCATCATCCACACGCTGGACACCCGTCTGGAGAACCGAATCGATGATATCGTTGATCTTAGAGACAGTGCCGTGCAGAACAGTGTCAATCTGCGAGTCCAGCGCGTTGTCGACATCACCTTGGCTCTATTTGCGCCATCCGTTAGCTCGACATACCACCATACGGTTCGCGCTGATCACATACCAATTTCAGCTCCTCCAACTCCATCAAAGCCTGCTCCATTCCCGACTTGTACACTTCGATTTCCTCGTCCTTTTCGCGCAGGGCAAGGTCGTGGTCGCCTGCACGCTCCGAGGTCTTGTTGGAGACTTCCTCCAAGGCACGAGACTTGTTCTGTGTCCAGAGTTAGATACTGATAAGATGACTTAAGCAGGGCAACTTACCCGGAGAGCCTCCTCCAAGTCCGCCATTTCCCTGTTGTATTTCGACAACAGTGTCGAGATCTCCGTGCCCTTGGAGCGTTCCGCATTCTCAGCTCGCTCGAGGGCAAAGCGCAGCTCCCGTTTGACCTTCTCCAGCTCTTCTTTGTTGTTGCCGGTCAGACGGTCTCTGTCGTGCAGCGCGCGGTCCCGCTCGCGGATCATGTCGGCCAGCTCCAGGTTCTTGGTCTTGAGCTCACGCTCAAGCTTCTCACGGCGCTCAATAGCCTCCTGTGCCGATGCTGCCTTCAGCTTAAGGCTCTTCGTCGTCTGCAACAGGTCGAGGTGCTCCTGGCGGAGTTGAGAGTAAAGCTTGGCCAAGGCTTCGTACTTGGACCGCCACGTGTTAACCTGCTCCTGCAGCGACCGAATCTGCTCGTCCTTCGACGCATTCTGCAGGTTGAGATTGGAGTTCAAGTGGTTCATTTGTTCCTCCAGATCCTTGACTCGACGGTCGTACTGTTGCAGCATCAACTGGTCACGCTCGTACTGGGCGCGGGCATTCAGGTTCTCCTGCTCAAGCTCGGCCAAGCGACCTTGGGTCTGTGTCTGGTACTGATCGCGCAAAAGCTGTTCCTGAGCTAGGCGCTGCTGCTCAGCCTGGAGGCGCTGTTGTTCCTCGAAGTCGCGCTGAGCCTGCTGCTGCGCGAGAAGTTGTTGCCGCTGCTGATCCTCCCATTGCTGCTGCAAGCGGCGTTGCTCGGCTTCATATTCTTCTTGCTGACGCTTGGCTTCGGTAGTCCAGAAATCACTGATAGGCTCCGGCTCTGCTGCAGTCATCTTGGGCGGGGGAGACGGCTGGGGCTCGGGTTCCTTGACCGGTCGCTTCGGCAGAGCTGGACGTTCATCGTCTTCCGACAGCAAGTTGGGAGGGTCCTGTGGAAGCTTGGGGACAGTAATCAGGCTAGTGAGATACCGCAGGTTCGAACATTCGTAGTAGAAGCGGACGAGGCGATAGTGCTGGGCGTCATATCGACCGCGGAGAGGTTCAAGCGCTTCCGTATCACCCGTCGCTAAGCCAGACCATATCAGTATTTATTGAACCATCGCATCGGGAAACAGACGTACTCGTGTGCATAGCCCTCAGCATGCTGGTGATGAACTTGTAGATGCCGTAACTCTCCTGCACCAGAGGGACCAGGGCGGAGATGCGACATTCGTTGTTGGTGCCGGATTGGAAATGAGAGAAGATCAACTTCTGGAAGGCATCGATCTGATCTTGCAGTGTCATGAGATCTGTAATTGCCTCATACCTAGACGGTTGTCAGCTATGCACATGAACCTCAATTGCATATCCGACGTACCCTTCATTGGGGTCATTGGTTGTCTTCAAGCTGATGTACTCTTCATATTCGAACAGGCCTAAATCGATCAGTACCCATGCGAGGGGGGGGGGCGTCGTATTGGTGTCCTAACCGTTGAATTCGGGATGGTTCCGGTGAAACGCCAGCTTTGACTCAAGGTAGAAGACGTATTCACGAATGAGGGGGCCGTATCCTATTATTCCAGCTTCACGTCAGCTGTCTTCCATTTTCCCCCCAATAGGAATTGTACGCACCTCGGATACCATCTCCACCAACACCGCGCATTAGACTATCGATCCAATTGACATGCTGCTGTGCTTCACGGACAACGATCGGGTGACCTTCTTGTAGCACCTTATGTATCGTGATGAGCGCCTTGAACGTCTGCACTTCGTCGGCGAGGACAGGCTGGCTAAACGGAGACGCGATAAAGTCAGCTTATGCATGAAAGCGATTACAGAAACAAAGCAGGTAAGCATACACTTTCATGCCAGCCCAGAAGGCGCTGGATGATTTATGATCCCATGTGTACACGATGCAGCTCCGAACATGTTTCCCTGGGTGTACATTAGTGAATGTTCGGTTGGTGTGACCGGAGAAGAGCTCCGTCGATATAGCACAAAGCTTGAGAGGGGTAATTCGTACGTTTCGGGGCGGTTTCCTCTGTGATTGCGATATGATCAGTCACTAGTAAGCATCAGGGGAGCACTGCAGCTGTGACTTACCGATGCTCGTGGCTTTGCGAATGTTAATCGCCAAATCAGTCTCCGTGCTGGAATCGATGGATCATGTCAGCAATTCCATCAAAGAGCACAACAAGCGCACGGGCACCTCCAGAAAATATCACGTACCGACTCATGGTGATGGTTGCGAAGCTCTGGATGGGCTTAGATCAGGGGAACAGAAGACGGAGAGATGCGGCGGGAGCCGGTGGGCCCGTAATGCGGACAGCGCAATCAGCCAGTTAGTTGCACGGGGAATGCGCTATCCTCAAGAAAGGAGAGGGGAGGAGGGAGAAGTGCGATAAGTGGTCAGGGCAAGGATTGAAGAGAGCAATGGCCACCCACGCGATCGTCCAGCAGGGTCCGTCACAGCAGAGAAAAAAAAAGAGAGCAAGAGAACTAGAGGGAGAGTGTGAGTGAGGGGAATAAAAGGCAGGTGGACTGAAATAGCAACAGGCAGAGAGATGAAGTAAAGGCGAGATGACGTCCGAAAGGGAAACTGCCACCGCGGCCGGTTCTTGGCACCGCCGCCCGTTCCTCACAGGGACTCGTCACCCTCCTGGATCTACTGCAAATAAAAAGGGTTCGCTATCCACCGGATCTCACCTAGGCAGCGATTTTGTCGCCCAATCAGTCAACCCTGCCCAATTGGCCACCAACAGGCTACACTGTACTGCTACTGCTACTGCTATTGCCTACAATAAAAGAAGATTGAGGAAATGTTCGGCACTGAATTACTGAGAAACCATCCATCTATCAAGCAATCAAAAACCAAATAAATATACGACTAGAATGGGGAGTTTGACACCAGATCGCAATCGACGCCAGACACTGTCAAGCACGCTCAAGAACCAGCTGAGAGGGTATACCATGGGTGAGAAGCCAAGGAAGGGAACCATCATCCTGCACCACGGCACCGGACTCAGTTCACGCCTCCCTGTCCATATGAAAACGCCCGTTCCTGTAGAGACCGCCCTGCACTGCAGAGCTTCCGTTATGCATTGCCAAGGGCAAATGCGACATCACTCCGTTATTATGATCCCCGTATCTTTCTGCTGCATGTCACTAATGTGTTCTTCCTCATGGAATAATCCCGTCCGTAGCGGAGAGGATTTCCATGCCATGTTTCTCCGTGTCAAGTCTGGGCTTCGAATCAGGAGCCGCAGGCCCTTGCTCTACCGGCTCAAGCTCGCCTTCACCATCCCCACTATCGCGACTAGCAGCCGACTCTCCTAATTTGGTTGAGGAGCTGTAGCCTTTGGTGCTCGACTCGGTTGCTGATGCTCCCTCAGGAGATAGGTCCACCACAGGGCTGTTTGGCCCCGAATCGTATGGAGCTTCGACCACAAGTAACTCATCCGACCTAGCCCCCTCCGCCTGGGGTTGATAGATTGGCTTCCGTCTGGGTAGAGGTGGCTTGGGAACAGGCCTCTTGTTCTCCCTATCCGACTTCTGCTCGGGAACATTCGACAACGCCACCGGTTTACGCTTGGGAACCGCTACGGTGTTCCTCTTATATCCCACCTTGTCAGGACGCGGCAATGGAGTCCCCGGGGGTGGGAGTGGGTGTCCACGCCCTATCGGCTGCTCCGGAGTGCCCGCAGGACGAGACATATCGTGAGCGGAGCTAGACTCGCCTCTGCCGAACATGTTCCATCCCCACTTCTTGGCCACGGAGGTGGCCGTATTTAGCGGGCCAGGGGATTTACTCTCTGAGGGAGTGGCAGAGGTAATCGACCGGGTCAATGTTTCGAGTGTGCTGCGACGTCGCGACTTGTTGCTCGCCAGGGATGCAGTAGAACCACTCTCCATACCCCGGAGGTTGTTCGATGAATCGCTTCCACGGTGAATAGAAGGCGGCCGGGTAGGAAACTCGCTTGCAGACTCATCGAAGCTCCCGGATGATTCGATGATGGACGGATCCCGACTCTGGGATACACTATCCGGGATCATATGACTAGCAACCGGAGGAGAGCTTGCAGGAGTCTTTTCCGGTGATCCGGGAGCTGACCGGTTAGATATTTCGATCATAGCACTGGTCGCATAGCTCTTCTCTTCGCTCTTTGTTTCGCACAGAACCCGGTCCATCTTCCCATGGTCAGCTGTCAGGACGGGATCGGCGGCATTGGAGAAGGTCTGAGACCGAATTACCCGTGGGGGCGAAGTGCCGAATTTGTCCACCGCAGAAGATAGAGCGCTTGGACTGATGTTCTCCAAATCTCCTATGGAGGCCTTGGAATTCTTGCGGGCTTTTAAGGTGCCATTGCCAGATTCGGCAAGCGCAGGGGCGCTCATGGTGCGATCGTCCTTGATCTTCAGTACTTCAATCGACTCCTCTTTGGTGCTACTCGAGGGCTGATCCTGAGCACCGGACTCATCAGGAATATCTGCTTTTGTATCAGGTTTTGGTATCTCTCGCTCCCAGATACCACCGCGGAATCGCTGTGATTCAGTGTCCATGAAGGGGATGTCGTCCCAAAACGGCTGAACCAAGCTCTCCGCAACAGTTTCCCGGATGCGACTCTCGATGGTACGCAGAATTATGCCGTAAGTGATCTGCTTGGAGCTAACAATTGGTTCAATGTCCATGTCCATATCGGGCATGGATTCAAAGGATATCCAGATTCTGTTACTCGGAGGAGGCTTGAAGCGGATCAGCAAATGACCCTCTAGCTTCTTTAGAACAACCGCCAGGACAATGTCGACTTCTCTGGCCTTGAAGCGCTGGCCCAAGTCGATACGCACGGTTGCCGAGATCTCCAAGCGGAAGTTGCCCGTATACTGAACATCCGTCTCTACGCAACAGTTGCCGTCGACCGTCAGGTCCTTGAGCCTAGGGTTGATGATAAAGGGCGCACCTTCCCCCATGTCAATCTTTTGGAGACCAATCTTGCTGATGAAGTTGGGTTTGTTGACGCGGGAGATCTTCTTGGTGACCTTCTTCCGGATGAACTCCTCCATTTCGGGTGTCTTGTACATGGCAAGGAACAACCTGCCCAGCACCGCGTTGATCCATCGCGTTTGCAGTTGCTCCTCGGACGAATGCAAGCGCTGAACCAGGGTGACGATGTGTTTGACATCAAACGTTTGATGCTTGGGAGGAGCATCTGGAGAGTTCCACATGCGAGCCTGATTCTGGAGCATGGCGAAATAGAAGTCCTCCTTTTCGGACAGGTTTTCGGAGAAGAGAAAGAAAGGCGGCGTAGGTCCTCCAAGATCACCCAGCGACTCCAGTCGTCGCGAGAGGCAGATGGCGTTTCTCTTTAGCCACAGTTCTCCTTCTGGGATCGGGCCCTCTCCACCATGTATACTGACATCGTGGTGGGCAAGCGAAATAACATATCGGACTTCCACCTGGTTCGCATTATCGTAGAGCATCAAATGGCCATGTCTAATTTGTGTCGATCATTAGCATCAGCCGTATTTCCTACTTGCGGAACAAAGAGGAATTAAGCGGAGGCGGAGAAGGGTCGAAAATACCGAAGAACAATATAGAAGACATTACGCGCCCGCTTCCCATTCTTAGGAGTATTCTTAGCCGGCTCGATCGTCGGCGCTTGTTTCCGATCGAACAAACTCCTATACATAGCCTGATACACGCTCGGACTCTCCGCGGCGATCACCTCCCCAGCCGGAGTGGTCCTCTCGGGCGGCCGCCCATTAACACCACCGGGGACATATTCACGACAAACGGCGAAATAACCAGCGGCGACATCGGAGTCATGGGTACGATGAAACTTCTCGGCCAACTCATCCGTTCCAGACTTAAGACTGTAATGATCATCGGTCGGACGGCGCAGAGTTGTCGAAGAAGATTGGGGATGGCATGATTTCTGATCGGAGGAGAGCGGCGGGGACGGAGCGGCAGTCGGGAGGGACAGATAGACGAAGAGAGCGACCAGCGACAGGACTAGCGGGAGGAAGGTAAGTCCGCCGAGGACGTATATGAAGAGAAAGCTGGCGTAGGAACCCATTGGGGTGGGGAGCCGGACGTTCAAATGGCCAGCGTTAACAACACCTCCATCATCATGAGGCTCAAAAAAACGAAAGACCAAGTGGCAGGCAGGCGGCAGGCAGCGAAGGTGTTCGAACCTGGAGGGGAAGAGAAGATAAATGAGGACCAGCTCGAATGTATAAAAGGGAGAGAGGGGTGGGGGGAGAAGGGGAAGCGAAAGGACAAGTGTATAGTATACCTGGAGAGTATGGGTGAAGGAGATAAATTAGGGAGGGAGGAAGGGCAAGGGGGAGATGAAGGAAGGGAACAACCAAGTTTGAATGATGTTGTTTGTAAGTTGGAGGTGGATTGTTGCAGAGTGACAGTAGCACCTTTCCTAGTTGGGGCAGCAGACAAGTCCTTGGAACTCCGCGGTTTCCGGGTGTTCTTTCACAAGTCACTAAAAGGTCGCTAGCTGGTAGGCAACACACCCGTTAGTGACCAGCGGAGTACTTGGGAACTACTACAGACTACAGTACTACTTTCCCATCGATCATGACGGAATGCCGTGGGTCCGGGAAGAACGTTGCCCCGCGTTCCTCACCACCTGATGGTCCCGTGATCCGCCCGGGGCCTGCAGATCGTTGGTTTAGCTTATCGGCACTCGATAGATACCACTTTGTAGCATACTAACAAGAAGTTGCCAGTTCATCACGGAGATTTAATACACACGATTGACTTGCCTCATGCAAGATTGGAGGTAGGAAAAGCAAGTAACAAGTGTTGGATCACATGCAGCTATCGTAGCTGAGTTAACTTTTTGTTTGTTTGTTTTTTCCCAGCATAATCGTAACTCTTCGGTATTAGAGACGCAATTGGTTTCCACGGAACCTTAATCCTGGCTGCTTCTTGCACACGAGCTTATCGCGTCATCAGGGACATCCTTGATCATGTTACATTTATGGCTCATATACCCTTTATGCTTTGAAAGACGGGTATCAGCCAAGGAACGCAGTCATCCTTCCAACCAAATGATCATTACCGTTAGGTAAGTACGTACTAGTGCGCGCTAAAGTAACATCGTGTTGCAGGATGTTACCGAGGCCCAGTCTTACCAATACTACCCGGTACTTCCTAGCGGTCTCTCAGTACCTCAGGGGTCAATGTACGAGTTGTAACTCATCTGAGCGAATACAATAAGCATATTTACCTTTATTGCTTCAGAAAATAATCACGAGATCTAGTAACTCCACCAATTAGCTGATGTGAAGCTGTCCAGCAGCTCAGCCTTAGGGCTGTCATGCTTTCCCGCGTACAAGCACCCTGATTGGCCCACTCGTTCCGGGCGGGCCCTGCCTCAGGCTGAGCCATCCTCTATCGCTTTTTAGTATAGATATCACGTCTAGTATACGATAGTTGGGATGGCATCAGCCGAATATATAAACGTCAATCTTCCTCTCCTTCTCTCTCATAATCACCATTTTTGTACATCTTTTTTTATCCTTCAATCACTCTATTATCCTTCTTTCTTCTTCGAATTTCATTATCTATAGCTTTCCCTATATACATCCCACCAACCACCAAGACACAATGACAACAACTACAGAAACCAGCCTCATAACCCTCCCCGCCAAACCCACTGCCCAACTAAGCTATACCTTTTACCCCTCAACCTCTCAATCCTCCAATAAAACCTTCCTCATCTTCCTCAACGGCCTCACAGCCCCCCAAACCTCGTGGATCCCCATAATCCACCACCTCCAATCCACCCACCCACACAACCTCCCAGCCATCCTCACCTACGACCGCTACGGCCAAGGACAGACTCCCTCCAGGGATCCAGCCGACCAGGATGCCACAGACCCAAGTCACGGGCACGACATCCTCTCTGCCCTGGACGACCTCCACCAACTCATCCAGCAGATAGCCAACCTTCACCTCCCCACCTCAACAACCCCCTCAGACCTGAACCTAATCCTAGTAGGCAACTCCCTGGGCTGCGCTCTCGCCCGTCTCTACGCCCAAACGTACCCAGGCACTGTGTCCGCCCTCCTCCTGCTCGACAGCATCCTCGCCAACTCGGATTTTGTGTCTGTGATTCCGGATCCTACTGCGCCGGGCTTTGTTCCACCGCCAGGGGAGGATGGCCTCTCCGCTCAAGATCTGATTATGGCACGAGCCATCGCGGGGAAGGTCTTTCATCCGTCTGTGGGGAGTAAGGAGGGCCTGTCAAGACGGAATCTGGCGGAGTTGTTGCCTGAGAGTAATGGACCGAGGCTGGTGGGGACTGATGCTGGAAGGGGGCCTTGGCTTACGGTCATTGGACATGATGGGAAAGCATTTGCGGAGGAGAGTGTGAGGATGACGGGCGGGAAGGTGTCTGGAAGGGTGTTTGAGGTGTATGTCACGCCGTTTTGGGAGAGGTATCATCGGGGATTGTTGGGTATTACAGATGAGGAAAGAGGGAGGGGACCACTTGTTGCTGAAGGGGCTGGACATGTGGTGCAGTTGGGAAACCCGGGCTTTGCGGCAGAGGAGCTGGGGCAGTTATTGGATAAGGTTATGGCATGATAGTTGATTCTAGTTCAGATGGGGTGGATAGTTGACGCCGGATAGCTGCTTTTGTTCCTGTGGGATTGTTTGCACCCAGGTGCTAGTACTCAGTATCAATGTTTTTCATTTTATTCGATGTCAACTGCCAGGGAAAGAGACTTAATTGATAGCACTCAGTTACCTTCAAATCACTGTACCTTTTCCAGAAGCTAGTCATCCCGCGCATATGGACTTCGTCGCCGCAGCGCCACCCCATATCGTTTCAACAATATCGGCGCCGGAATGCCCACCACAACCGCAATTAAAGCCAGGAGTGTATTCCCCCATCCGAGGCCGAGATTGCCATACCTAGCTTGATCAGCATGTAACATACTCAGGATGTATCCACAACACTCACAGCCTCGGCGCGGCTAGCGGCAACGCAAAGGAAAGCAGACTTCGAACGAACATAACCGCCGCTACCGCACTGGAAGCATATTTGGGGTATGTATCCATTATGTACCCTACTATGCATTGGATTTCATGTAGCGCGCCGGCACCGTAAATAGCTGCGCCGATATTTCTGTAGCCGTCAGTAAATCAATTGCAGTACTAGGTCTGGAAAGGGGTCATTCGTACGGCATTATCCAGTGAACATTTGGTCGAGCACTCCATACATACCACAGAAGCCCGATAGGAATAATCACCGCACCGATCATCAGGGCCGGCAGGCGGAACTCGGGCAAGCTGTGTCCACCATGCTGACTGCACAGCTCTCTATAGGACCGGTTGGCGAGACGCATTCCTACCTGCGAAGCAAAAGTCATACCCAGGAATAAAGAAATATAGTTGAGGGAGCCGATAGACACGGATTCTCCGTATGTGCCTGTCCATACAGTGGGGAAGCTCGAAATCAGTAGGTATAGAATCCCGAAGATGTATGCACAATACAGACTCCAGACTTGCACCACCGGTTGTATGGCAAGCAACTTAATTGGTCGAACGAGGCTAAGCCGGAGTAGATAAGGCAGGGAGACGCTGTCGTGGTTGGTGTACAGGTTTCGGTTCTTGGTGCTTTTCCGTAAATGCTTACACCTTCTTTGCAGCAAAACTGGCGCATAAGTCTCGCGAATGAAGGGCAGACCGAAAACTTGCACTGCGCCAGCCACGATGGATACAAAATAGAAGCACCATGGCCACGTCGTGTACTGGACGAGAAAGCCGCCAGCGATAGGGCCGAATGTCATGCCGAGCGAAGGGGCGAGGAGATAGAGAGACAGAGCACTACCGCGCTTGTTAGGCTCAAATAGGTCTGAGGTGAAGCCAGCGCCCATCTTTGGCGGTCAGTACTAGGCCATTACTGCTGGAGACGCGATGAGCTGAAGTGATACGGACCGTGTTAGCTCCTGCGCCGCCCAGACCAGCCAGAAAACGGAGGCCAATCAGCTGATTTGGTGTTCTGGCAATTCCACATAGGGTGTTAAAGATGATGAAAAATATGTCAGTAACTTGGAGGATTATCATCCTTCCAAATACTTCTGACAAAGGCGCCGTGAATAGTGGCACGATTGCCATTCCCAGCATGTAAACAGACAGGGATATAACGCTCATCGTACTAGACGAGAAGTGGAGGTCTTGCTGAATGTTATGTAGGGCTGGGGCCATTATAGCTGAGCTCATGGAAGTTAGAAAAGTGAACAGCGACATGGGAACGAGGGTCGCCCATTTCTTGCCCAACGGCCAATTCCTTGGATGTCCCGGGTCCTCGGGACCATTCCATGTCACCTTGGATATTAGGCACAGCGCTTCAACTTGATGTTGTAGGACACCTTACCAGATTAGGGTCTTGTTCAGATGGTGGTAACTCTGTTAAAGCTCCAGATGATGTGCTTTGGGAATTTGGGGTTTCGTTGGGATGAGTGTTTATTGAAGCTTCTTTTTCGGCCATTGCAGAACGTGCCCTGATATCAGATAAATGGTTTCACGGTCCCGAGGGGAACGACACAACTTATGATCTCGTTACGCCGGATATACGGAAGCGAGGTATCTAGCAGCTATATAAGCGAATTGTTTTCGGCGAAGCGAACGCAGGCTTATTGACCAAAGAGGATTGTGTTACTACTAGGAACAGAAGGTCGGTAGCTTCCCAGCAAGCTCAAGCCATGACCTACTGTGTCTTATTTCAGTTCGCAAGCTCGGTAGCTCTTTACTGTTCAAATTGGCGTTTGACCCATAGGCCAGGTCACTAGATCCCGGCCGCCTGCGCCTGCATTGATTGACGCTATAGATTTAGGGTTCCGGCAGCGCGCCAACGCGGCGGAGAAGCTTCCCCGGCTTGTTATTGTTAAGCTGGTGCGGTGCGACTGGAATCTATTGCTCTAAGCAATCTTAGTCCCGCCATATTGTCAGTTGATAAGACCATCTGCAGTATTTCAATAATGACGTGGCTTTCACGACGTCGATCTTGTGTGGTGAAGACAGTGGTTCATGTAGCTGTAATGCAGTGCGGGTTTCGAGAGTTAGCTTTCGCATAGTCGCCATAGTTAGTTAGTTGGTCCTCACAGTATGAAAGGGGAAACTCGAGAGGAGATGCTCAAGATCACAACTTTTCTAAATGCATATGCACCGGATGATTTCTGTTCTTTCTGGGGAAGTCGTATACTGGACACGTCAGCGTTTACTTATCGCAGCATTATGTCTTGCGTACGTAGTTCAGGCGGGTTCACCGCAATGCAGACTGATCCCTTGCCCTAGGATCAGTCTCTTGAGTAATTTGTCAGATGCAATATTTTCGGTGCAGTTCACTCTGTATATAACAGGAAATAGTCTGCTGCTCATGTTCAATTATCCAAAATGGTAGCTGAAAAGCCGTGATCCGTAGCTTCCTGAGAACGCAGTCTGTAGTCAAGCATAATATTGCCTGGATAAAGAGAGTGTCGGAGAGTAATATGCTAAGCCAGCGTCACAAACCCAATACTTCAAGCTGCTGTTCATTCCTATATGCTAGGTGAAGATCATCATACTCTCCACATTGTACTAATCATGGTTCAATCGTTCGGTGTATAAAAGCTAAAGCACGAACCGTGAAGCAGCGTAGCTTGCCGCAAGAGATTGAAATAGGTAGTCTTGAGATGGAACCTTTTACCTGTGTAGTTTTGTCGACTGGTGAAGACACTTGGAGCGTGTATAAGAGGTCGGTTCTGGCAGCAGCAAGGAAAAACTTTGAGGCCACCAAACGAGATTGATATTATCTCCCCATCATGAACACCAAGTGAACCAAAGCAAAGAGGGCAAGTAGATCCCCGCATTCGGTGAGACTGGTCACTTCGGTCCGCCGGCATAAATCATGAGATGGGTGGGTGGAGAAACTCTCCGGTAGGTCCTGACGTTGATAGGATTGAAGCGCAAGTACATCCACGTGAGCCTGGTTAGTCGTTTGCTAATCTACATGAGTGATGCCCATCATAGCTCATGCTCGAATTTTGTAATATCAGGATCAAGAGATGTCACTACCAATGCAACCGAAAATGAAATTGTGTTATGAATAGTCCTTGGGTCTAGGCTCTCTATCAATAGTACAGAAGGTCTACACCAGCAGACTCGCAATAATACAGAGAAGGTAGTGGTACAGGGGCATTGTGTAGCGCCCAATTTCAACAAGGGGAGACTCAGATGAACGCCAATTCCAAAGCAACGCTGATGGATCATCGCTCAAACGTCTCACTTTCTCCGCTTCATGGTCTTCTCGCACATCTGGGCCAACCCAGCCTTGGCGTCGCTGTCGGGGAAGTCGGAGATCGCAGCGACAGCCTTATCCGCATACTCCTGGGCCAGGATACGGGTCTGTTCGACACCGTCGGCCTTGAAAACAAGTTCCCGAGCCTAGTTATCATTCAATGTTAGTGACAAAGCTTGTTTGTTACAATCAGGGTCGCATTACCTTCTGAACATCGCCGGGCTGGCTGAACTTCCGTCCAACCAACGGGCCAAGCTCTGGGAACTGCTTCCAGGCAAAGAGCAGCGGGGCCGTAGCAAGACCAAGCTCTAAGTCTGCACCAGCTGGCTTGCCCAACTCAGCCTCGGTCACGGTATAGTCCAGCATATCGTCCACAAGCTGGAACGCCAGTCCCAAGTTGCGTCCGTACTGGTAAGAGGCTTCGACAACTTCGGGGGCGCTGTGACCCAACACGGCAGTCGACCGGCAGGACTTGCTGATCAAGCTACCCGTCTTCAGGTATGTCTTCTGCAGGTAGTACGAAAGGGTGTCGTCCGTGAAAACGGGGTTCTTCTCGTCCGCAGCCGTGTTCTTCAACTGCATGAACTCGCCCTCAACGAGGTTGGTGATGACAGTCGACATCAGCTCAATGACCTCTGGGTCCCTCAGCCGCGCGAGAGCGACGGAGGCCCGACCCAGCATGAAGTCTCCTGCCAAAACGGCCATCTTGTTTCCGAATTGAAGGTTGGCGGACGTTAAAGAACGACGGGACTCAGCATTATCGATGACGTCGTCGTGCAGGAGGGAAGCAGTGTGGATCAATTCGGTGATTTCAGCAAGCCGCCGCTGGGTGGGCAGGATGTCCTTGTCGCCGGCAAAGTCGTACGGCGCATCTGCACTACCGGATGAGAGCGCATCCAAGTCCGGATTCTTATCGACGAGGATTGAGGGCGAGCTGATTGGGTCGTTCACTGTTGCGGAATTGTTGTCCGTGCCCGTCTTCCGGGGACACAGCGCCGTGGCCTGAGACATCAGCAGCACCAGAAGCGGCCGCATGTGTTTACCCTCACTGCGGGTGTAATATTTGGCCACCTTGTCCAGTGTAGGATGGCCGGACCCGAGCAACTGCCGGAGGTTCTTCGTCAAGAATTTGAGTTCCTTTCCTACCATCCGCAATGGGTCGACGGAGATGCCCGGAGGTGTCTTGGGTAGGCCTTTGAAGATGGTCTGAGCTGCGGAGACGGCGGCACCGAGCGGCGATACATTGTTACGTTTTGTGGGATGATATTTTCGTGATTGGAGCTGGAATTGGTTCGCAACCAATTCATTCCGGAGGCATTGCCAGCAAACTATCGTGGAAGACGTGACGCGTGACGAGAGTACCAGCCCGGATGCTGGCACCGTGCGTGCTTTCATTTTCGGGGGATGTGTGAGGAAAGTAGCTAGAATTGAGTCAAACAAGATGCTAAGATCATAATACCGGGAAAGAGGATGATTGAAAGCCGGGCCAGGTCCGGGGCCGCACCAGTGCCTGGATGGATGGATGAGGCGCAATTAACACCCGCCGAAGATTTCGAGACGGAGGTTGCCTCGGGCCGGGTCGGGGCTCTGGGCCCGTCCCTGCCGCATCTAGTTCTCTCCCTGTATCTTCCCTCCGTCTTCCACCACACCACTCTACTACAGTATTCAAATAGTATTCCACACACACACACACACACACACACACACACACACACACACACACAATATGACAGACATTTGTTTCAATTCAGCTCACTTGATCATGGCTGCAAGGGTTTTCTGATCTATTATGATGGGAAATTACAACAGAAAACCAAGGTCACGCTTCTCCTCCGCCCCGCAAGAGACAAACTCGGCAGGCCGAACAGCATCTACAGCAGAAACCACCTGTGCAACAGTACAAACGAGCCGGTCCAATGATACATAAGAGACATGGGAGATCACGCCGGCGAAGCTCAGTCCTACCCATTGCTTCATACACACCCGAACGACGACACTGCAAATAAGAACACATTGTTGAAAAGCTTCCCTCCGTTTCTGAACCCAACGGGACGGGATATAACAGGATTACAAACGAAAAGCTGATGTATGCTTATAACTTCACACCCACTAGATTGCATCGAAATCGCCGCCGGCATCCTCGTCATCCATGTCTCCTTCCTGGATCTCCTTGGCCAACTCCCGCTCACGCTCCCGTGCCTCCTGCGCACTCTTTAATTCCAGACGGTGTTGGTTCATGGGGAACCGCATGGCCTATTGGCAAAATAGTTAGCTGAGAACTCTCCGTAGAGCACAATGATATATCTCGTAGAAACTCACCTTGACGCTTTCGTCGTGGAGACTCAAGCAAGCTCTGATGCGCTCATGGAACACCTCTCCGGGTTCCCTGGTCGCATAGATGTCTCCCACTTCCTTGCTCTTCATGAATCCGTGCTCGTGGTCCAAGCTGGCCTCGATCACACCGTCGCGGATAGCCTTGGCCACAATGTACTCGGCAGACTCCTCGCTGTCCAGTCCGAGACGCAGGCAAATATCCCGGAGCGAGATGCGAGAGTAGGAGAGAGACATCATACGAATGCCGGTCTTGATAACGTTCTGGCGCAGACGCAAGATAAGAGTGTACGTACCGTCCTTGCGGAACGTCGCACTGTGGGTGTTGACGATGTTGAGGAATCCATCAAGGTCACCCACACTGACAGCTTGAACAAGGAGGAAGTAGGGGTGCATGGCGCGCTCAAGAGCGGGCTGTCGGAAAATGGCCCGGTCGGGAATGTCACCCATGAGGAGCTCCACCACGACGAGCAGTTTATGAGAAGCCTGGTAGAAACCGCGCGCACTGTGACTGGAAGGCGACTTGCGAGTGGCACCGATCAAGTGCCCATGGGCATCGGTGTACTGCAACTGAATGGCCCGGATGCGACCCAGGTAGTAGAGGTACCGGGCGATCTGGTTGTTGGACGCCGATGGGGGGAATTTGTTGTGCGAAATGAGAAGGTCTGCCTGTGAGATGTGAGACGTAGATAGGTAGTTGCGCAGCAGTAGCGTCATCACGGTAGCTTGGGTGTCTACATCCTTGCGAAGCACTGCCGTCCGCAGGGCTGCGAGCAAGGGCTGGCGGATCTTAGTCACGGTGGCAGCAGGCGATGGGGGAAGGGGAGCGATCTGCTCATAGAAGAGAGAGTAGTAGAAGTAGACACGAGCTGCCAGAGAGT